ATAGCAGCTTTGAACGCAAATAACAAACAAGCTGATACACAGCGCTTGACTGTTAGACTGAAATAATATGGCAGGGCTAAACTGCCTTTCATTTTTTTTCTTTTGAATATTATTAATTGCAATGTGTTGACTGTTAATTTAATTAAATGTTTTGTTTTAATATAAGACCATACTGCAGTGCACTGACTCACCATTTCGTTTAATTAATTGCAAACCTTAAGATTTGATTACTCATAGCCCCCCTTTAGTTAATTTCCTTGTTCACAGTTTTGACAGAAAAGCTTTCAGACTAATATGAAGAGATGGGCACAGTATAACTAATTAGGAAAGTGAAAAAATAGCTTTACTTAGAGCACAGGATTACTTAGATACATTCTATCACCTTGGAACTCTCTCTGTAGGAACTGACTTAGTCCTCTGTCCTGTTAACTGTCTGAATCTAGTTTTCATTGACTGGATATGTGTTATATATGTGGAGGCAAATCTGCCTTCATTTGCACTTGAGCCCTCATCTATGTCAGTGGCATTGCAAGGGTGTAACTGAACTTTGGTTCAGTATGTCTTCTTTTGCGTTCTTTCCAGCTCTGCCACTGGCCTATTGGGTGACATTGGGCAAGTCATGTTGCTGCTCTGTGCCTTAGTTTCCCCATCTGCAAAATGGGGACAGTGATACTGACCTCCTTTGTAAATCACTTTGAAATGTACAGGTTTCTATGACTATGGCTTTCTAGTGAGCCTTGTCTTCTGAGTTATAAATCAGAGGGGCAGATGCATAATCTGGGATGTTTTCCATATATGTATTTATTTTAAAGTGAGGCACTCAGATCTGGCTGTACTAAATAGGGTTCCTCTGCCTCTAACAAAACAACCAATAGCAAGGAAAATGCCTCCTAAATTCACCCTGAATGGTGGGCAAGTCAGATGGAGAAGAGCCCTTTTTGCCACAGCTAGTGAGAGTTGAATCAGCTGCAGCTATGAATTTTATGAATAGTTAGCTGGAACCACATTAAATGGGAACATCGATTCATAGATCAGCTCTGCAATGTTCCTAGTTGAAGCCTGTGCAAATGGGTTATTTGTTGTACACTGGGTTTTCCATCATTTCAATCTATGTCACTTGCTTAGAACCAGCAATTTGTGCTGCCTATGCCTTGCGTATTGCTCCCGACTTTTTAACTCAGGAATGCTACAGAACTAAATACATTGTTTGTACAGCACCTAGCATAATGGTGTCCTGGTCCATGACTGAAGCTCCTAGGCACTACTGCAGTGCAGACAATAAATGATATAGAGTGGGGGATGACCAAGTGGGAGCCTAAGGACCTCAGTGATACTCTTTAACTTCAAAATGGTGTGGGATGTGCTTGCTTCAACCCTTTAACTGTTAGCCAGGCTACCCAAGCTTTTTAAGGCAGAGTCTTTTTGCACTAGGGCTAATTGTTTTTTATCCTTTACAGTTTGAACACTGAAACTCCCAGATGCCCAACCTCCTTGCTTAGAGTGACACTTATATGGCAGATGTCACAACATTGATTTCTGCCATATTGTTGTTTTTGGCTTTTATCCTCATGGCATAAATGCCTAGTTAGGGAGCTGAAAAATGCCTGAAAGAAATGACATTGAATTTCTCCAGTGTCTGTTGGGGGTGGTTTTGGGATTGTACCAGTAATATTGGTCTGAGGATCTGTAGCAACAAAAGTGGTAGTATTATGACCCTCTGACTTATATTTGAGTGATTAACAATCAGCATTTGCAAAAGTATAACCAAAAAAAGTGTGTTTAACTGTTTTGCATTTAAAGTGAGATTGCATGCTATAGCTTGAGTAGTGGTCTAATGTGTATCGGGTTGGGAATTGTATTAAAATATTGAAATAAAGTTTCTGATGCTGTTTTCTGAAATGAATAATATATAAATATTCTTATTTGTATTAAAAGAGTATTAAAAGAGCTCCCTATTAAAATACTGTTGGTGTTTTCACATGTAGGTGACAGGATTATGAAACAGATGCCTAGCTAGTACGGGTGATGTTCAGTAGATTTTAGAATAGAGAAGTGAGTAAATGCAGTCCATACCTGGGAACACTGGAAGGCTCTTAGGCAAGGAGAGAAACAACTAACTATGGAGGAGAGTGGTTTATGAGTTTGCTTAGATAACTGGCTTCATTCTGAACCCATACCTTATGTAAATCAGGAGTAACTTCACTGAAGTCAGTTGAGCCATATCAGTGTAAAATTATTTGAAAAGAAAATCAGGAACAAAGAATTCAGTTTAATTTTATTGGGTGTTTCCTTACGTAAGCCAAACTACAATAGTAAGAACTCTTGTGAAGCCTATATAAGGAACTAGTCTGAAAAGCACAACACCTAGTTAGGTATCAAGTTCATATACAAGAACTTTTAAAATAAAGTCATCTTTACTTTTGGTTTATGGAGATATGACAGTAAAGTCTGTGATATATATTAGTGCAGTGAAGTCAGTGCCTAATGTCTCAATAAAGTATAATTTCCAGAAACAACAGAACATTTCATTCTTTTTAGGGTCATGTTTTCCCAGCTCATGATACAGCATTAGAACATAAAATAAAACATAAGAATGGTGATGCTGGATCAGACCAATGGAAAATCTAGTCTAATCCTGTCTCCCAATAATGGCCAGTGCCAGAGGCTTCAAAGGAAATGAACAGAACAGGGCAATTATCAAGTGATCCATCCCCTATCGTTCACTCCCAGCATCTGACAGTCAGAGACTTAGGGTCATCCAGAGCATGGGATTGCACCCCTGACCATTTTAGCTAATAGCCATTGATGGACTTATCTTTCATGAACTTATGTAATTCTTTTTTAAAGCCAGTTATAATTTTGGCCTTCACAACATCTCCTGGCAATGGATTCAGTAGGATTTACCTTTTTTAAAAATTTGGCTTCACATTAACTATCCTCCAATCATCTGATATAGAAACTGATTTAAGTAACAGGTTACATACCACAACTAGTAGTTCTGCAATTTCATATTTGAGTTCCTTCAGAACTCTTGGGTGAATACCATCTGGTCCTGGTGACCTACTGACACCTCAACCTGGGAGATCAGTCACCTAAAAGAATGACTCAGGTATGGGAATCTCCTTCACATCCTCTGCAGTGAAGACCAGTGCAGAGAATTCATTTAGCTTCTCCACTGTGGTCTTGTCTTCCTTGAGTGCTCCTTTAGCACCTTGATCATTCATGGCCCCACTGATTGTATGGTGGGCTTCCTGCTTCTGATGTACTTAAAAATTTTTGCTATTAGTTTTTAAGACTTTTGCTAGTTGCTCTTCAAATTCTTTTTTGGCCTTTCTTTTGGCCTATGCTTTTACACTTGACTTACCAGAGTTTATGCTCCTTTCTATTTTCCTCAGAAGGATTAGACTTCCAATTTTTAAAGAGTGCCTTTTTGCATCTAACTGCCTCTTTTACACTGTTGTTTAGCCACAGCTAAACAACATTGGCATTTTTTGTCCTCGTACTATTTTTTTTCCTTTGGTCCTCTTACTATTTTTTTAAAAATTTGGGATATAGATTTAATTTGAGCCTCTATTATGGTGTTTTTAAAAAGTTTTCTTGCACCCTGCAGGCTTTTCACTCTTATGAAAGTATGAAAATAAAACCTCTTCCTAAAGTTTCTAATTTTCTAACTAACTACAGCACTGCAACATCTCCCCTCCCCCCCGCTTTTTTGTGCGTGTGTTTAAAGTAATTCAGTGATTTTGTGGAACAATTGTAACAACTTGTGAATAATGTCTGATATAAAGCATCCCAGCCCACTGTGTACAGTGGGACTGTGTAGAGTCACAGCAAATGACACAGGACAAGTTATACAATATTCTATTGAGAGGGAGCCAGAAAAGCCCATTTAGCCTAGGATTCTAAAAAACCTCTAAACAAACAAGAAGAACTATAAATGATATTTGTAGAGTTCTTTGGATTGATAGTTTTCTCTTTCTTCATATTCCTGCTAGGGGGAGAAACTGCTTCAGATAAAATATTTCCAGCTCAACTTTGCAGACATTAGGATTTCGGGTAATTTGGACATGGTCTAAAGAGCATCTGACTTTCTGGATGCTGAGCTAAGCCAAAATGCCAAAACTTCTAAGGTTCATTCTTCTCTACAAACAGTACCAGTGATGATAAGCAATGCCCAGGACCTACTCCCATCTCCCTCCCCTCATTTCCCTTTCTTTCAGATTATATGGCAGAGAAAGTGGCTTCTGAGCCATTTGAAAATCTCCCATTCCTACCTGATTCATGCTGTATATTTTTATGGGTCTATTTAGCTCAGGGGTTCTCAAACTGGGAGTCGGGACTCCTCAGGGGGTCACGAGGTTATTACATGGGGGGTCGCGAGCTGTCAACCTCCACCCCAAACCCCGCTTTGCCTCCAGCATTTATAATGGTGTTAAATATATAAACAAGTGTTTTTAATTTATAAGGGGGGGGTCACACTCAGAAGCTTGCTATGTGACGGGGTCACCAGTACAATAGTTTGAGAACCACTGATTTAGCTGATAAACACTGTAACATCTTTCCTGGGCTTCTTGGAGGTCAAGTTTATAGTTACCTGAACTCTTAATGGCATTGTTTCATTTCCAGTGGGACAGCAAAAATTTTGTTTGCATCAGATACCCATATTGCTGACTGGAAAAATACCAAAATTGTGTTCTTCATGCCTTTTGTGTGTGTGTGTGGTGGTGTTAATTGGCCACCTGCTTTTGAAATTAAGGACCTATATATATTCAGGAATTTCTTGCAGTTCTATTAGCAGATTGTGATCAAAGCAACAGGAAATAATATTTAAAAATAAAATCGGATCCAGGAATATCCCAAGTAAGTCAGTTTCAGTTGATGTTCAAAATAACAGTATAGTAATTGGCAAAGAGATGTGAACTGCATTAATGTGTTTTGTTCATATTGTAGAAAGGAATGCTCCATTTTTATTTATTTAGTTATTTATTTACATTTGCTAGGTTTAACAGCAGCTGCCATGGCTGAGGCAATGAAGTTACAGAAGATGAAGCTTATGGCAATGAACAGCCTCCATGGAAGTGGAAGCCAAAATGGAACAGAATCAGAGAATGAAGAGCTCAATTCTAATGCAGGTAAATATTGTCTCCTGTATAATCCCCAAGAGGGCTCTGCCTCCTATGGTTTGGGCATGGAAAGCAAAAATGAGAGGCTCTTTGGTATTGTCATGCTGGTGCTATTGTAGTTAGTTATACACCCCCAGAATCAATCACCTCACACACTTCCCCAATGTTGTTCATAACAGTAATTTACACTAATTTTTCAGAAATATTGCTTAAGATTGTTACAGCTTATGCAAAAATCACAAACATTCTAAATGCCTCTCTAAATACTTTTTATAGTAACAAAAGCTTTCTCTGTTGCCAAAAAATATTGAGTGTAGAGTTTTCCTGTAAATTATGGAAGGTTTTCAAAGCAATCCGATTTCTGGAATTCAGGATGAGTCACAATTCATCAGAGAGAGGGAAGGAGGGAGTGGTAAATTACTACCTTAAACTCTGCAGTTCTGCCTTCCAGCACACTAGCCTTCCTATTTACAGCCCAGAGCTATGAATTAGAGACATAGGAGGTGCATGTTATATCATAGATAACTGAAGATATTCTTAAATGAATACACTGAAACTCACTAGTGAGGTAGTTAAGTTATGAGTGTTATTGAGCATGTCTGCCCTGTATAAATATTCACACAGCACTGAACTAAACTCCCGAAGTTCTGACTCAACAAGCACTGGGCTGAAGATAAAACCTGAGATGGATTCTTTGAAGAAAGTATGTCTTTGGTTATTCTAGAACCCTTGTCAGGAATATAGAGGAAGCATTCAAAGGAAGTATTCCCAGGACACTGCAAGCAACCTAGAATAAGATGAATCCATTTCTGACTCAGGGAAGTAGTGGAGATACTACAGGCCAGATTAGAATGTCTGCTGTCAGAAAGCCATGTTTCTTCAGGCCTATTATTTTCAACAAGAGCTCTCCCCTTCCCATATATTATTTTTTCACTTTAAAATATAATGCAGTTTTTATTTTCATCACTGATGTAAATGGTACTGTATATTATTCCCTCTGTCTGTACTCAGAACTCTCCTCGACATCAGTGGAAATCACACATGTATCAAAAGAAGATGCATTCTAACAGCGTTTGTTGCTTGAATGGCATTTAGTGTATATGTGTTGTACCATCAAAATGTTAATTTATTAGACAAATAAGGCAGCAGCTGGGATGTCTTAGGCTCATTTTCTAAAGGAATAACTTTGAACTCATGACAAATTATTCACAAAGCAGAGTTTCTCCAAAAGTGGCATTACCTTTTGCTAACTGAATTGTGTGTGCTCATCTGTATTGAAGAAATTGGGCTTTCAAGTCATGCATTTAACTCCCCCTATTCCTCCCAGAAAAATGCAGTATGCAGAATATTTACTTCTTGTTCACATTTTCGAACCCATATCAATTAGTGCATACTGAATAATCATTTAAATTTGTGTCCTTCAGATACAGTCTCCGCAAATTTCAAACCTAGTTGCATTTGTTAGTTTTCATGAGTATATATTGTAAAAGGTATGATTGAAAACATAACTGATAAATAACAAATATTTCTTCTCAGCCCTAATGGCTGAGCAGAAATTTTCCCATAGAAAAACCCCATGGCTAGTTTTAAGGATTAGTATAATTACAGTGGTCGCCTTATAAAAATAGTCTAATTTTACTTTAAATTACACACTAGAAACTATGTTAAAAGAACATTATTCAGGTTGCAAAATCAAGCACTAAGAAGCTAGGAAATGCCAGAGTTAAGACTCCCTGCCTCATTCAGTGCACAGAATTGATGGTGCTCACTGTAATTAGCAGCAATTCTATATTTTGCTTTCTCTTTGTTTAATGTGTGGCCCCAGGCCTTCTTAACTGCACACTGTTCAAATCCTGCTCTGAAGACAGAATTATTCATTTCTTCATGAGGTTTTTTTATGTGCTCATCACTATAGTGTCTGAGTGCTTCACAAAATATTAATGAATTTATTTTCACAAGACCCTGTGAGATGAGTGGGTATTTTCCCCATTTTACAGACAGGGAGGTGAGGCACATAGAGATTAAGGCCCAAAGTATCCACTATTTTAGCTGAGCCCTGATTTTTTGAGTTGTTAGCATTATATAGATCTTCATCTATTCCAAGCACACCTCTCATTGACTTCAGTTGCAGCTGAGAGTGCTCAGCCCTTCTGAAGATCAGACTGAAGGGTCTAAGTGGGGCACCCAAAAAAATGGGGATCACAATTAGTGACCACATGTGAAAAGGTTGGTTTAAGTGTCTTGGCTAGTATCACACAGGAACTCTGTGGCAGAGGCACAGATAGAATTGAATTCTTCAGGATGACATTCAACTATCTTAATTATGAGACCATCCTTTTTCTTCTTGTAGTCTCCTCCCTTATTCAATATACACTTTTAAACTGCTGCAACAAATGAGGCAGGGGTACTACGAATAACAGCCTTCTTCACTACACATCCTTGATTCATTGCCAGAGTAGGATAGAAAATGTAGTGTGTGATTATATAATTAAACACTGTATCATATTGCATGCACCCAAGAGGGCTGAATTAAGATTGTACAGGCAACTTTAATTCTGATATTTCTTAACTTTTGAGTGCTTGACTTTGCGACCTTAATGTCTTTTTAATGTAGAGTTTTGTGTGTGTAATTTCCTAGTTTTGTAAAAAAAACAAAAACAAAAAACAGTAATTTCCGGCAAATTAGTTGAAACAATAGTAAAGAATAAAATTGTCAGACACCTAGAAGAACATAAATTGTTGGGCAAAAGTCAACATGGTTTCTGTAAAGGGAAATCGTGTCTTACTAATCTATTAGAGTTCTTTGAAGGGGTCAACAAACATGTGGACAAGGGGGATCCAGTGGACATAGTGTACTTAGATTTCCAGAAAGCCTTTGACAGCGTCTCTCACCAAAGACTCTTACGTAAATTAAGTTGTCATGGGATAAGAGGGAAGTTCCTTTCATGGATTGAGAACTGGTTAAAAGACAGGGAACAAAGGGTAGGAATAAAGGATAAATTCTCAGAATGGCGAGGGGTAATTAGTGGTGTTCCCCAAGGGTCTGTCCTAGGACCAATCCTATTCAACTTATTCATAAATGATCTGGAGAAAAGGGTAAAAAGTGAGGTGGCAAAGTTTGCAGATGATACTAAACTGCTCAAGATAGTTAGGACCAAAGCAGACTGTGAAGAACTTCAAAAAGATCTCACAAAACTAAGTGGTTGGGCAACAAAATGGCACATGAAATTTAATGTGGATAAATGTAAAGTAATGCACATTGGAAAAAATAACCCCAACTATACATACAATATGATGGGGGCTAATTTAGCTACAACGAATCAAAAAAAAGATCTTGGAGTCATCGTGGATAGTTTTCTGAAGATGTCCACGCAGTGTGCAGAGGTGGTCAAAAAAGCAAACAGGATGTTAGGAATCATTAAAAAGGGGATAGAGACTAAGACAGAGAATATCTTATTGTCCTTATATAAATCGATGGTACGCCCACATCTTGAATACTGCGTACAGATGTGGTCTCCTCATCTCAAAAAAGATATACTGGCAGTAGAAAAGGTTCAGAGAAGGACAAGTAAAATGATTAGGGGATTGGAATGGGTCCCATATGAGGAGAGATTAAAGAGGCTAGGACTTTTCAGCTTGGAAAAGAAGAGACTAAGGGGGGATATGATAGAGGTATATAAAATCATGAGTGATGTGGAGAAAGTAGAAAAGGAAAAGTTATTTACTTATTCCCATAATACAAGAACTAGGGGCCACCAAATGAAATTAATGGGCAGCAGGTTTACAACAAATAAAAGGAAGTTCTTCTTCACACAGTGCACAGGCAACTTGTGGAACTCCTTGCCTGAGGAGGTTGTGAAGGCTAGGACTATAACAGGGTTTAAAAGAGAACTGGATAAATTCATGGAGGTTAAGTCCATTAATGGCTATTAGCCAGGATGGGTAAGGAATGGTGTCCCTATCCTCTGTTTGTCAGAGGGTGGAGATGGCTGGCAGGAGAGAGATCACTTGATCATTACCTGTTAGGTTCACTCCCTCTGGGGCACCTGGCATTGGCCACTGTCGGCAGACAGGATACTGGGCTAGATGGACCTTTGGTCTGACCCAGTACAGCCGTTCTCATGTTCTTTGTTCCAATTGGTTTTATTTGCTGGCAGTAGAGGAACTGTCATACTCCAGTATCTCAGGTTCCATTTCAGGCTGTGGAGGAAAGTGTTCTTTAGTGGGTACCGACTCTGCCCATTCTTCCCAAACTTGACCACTTCTACCCCATCCTCTTCAACCTGTCTCAGCCTCCGTCCTGTCTCTTTGCCACCACTGGCTCCTTGTCCCACTACTATTCACCTTACCTACCTAGTCCCAGTCTCCAGGCCTCAGGCTTCTGATTCCAGTCTCCTTTCCCAGGAAGTTTTATCCTCCCTCAACTCTTCCACCCACTCCCACTCCCAGCTTCATTGCCTACTCAGTCTCATTCCCTGATCTGTCTCCCTCAGCCGCCATCCCCGTCACGTTATCCATCCCCACAGGCCCCAAGTCCCAGTCTCTCTCCCCAGTTTTATCATCCAGTGTCCATATCCTTTCCTCCCCTAGATCTTTGTCCCAGTTTCTTTGCCACACCAGTACCAGTTCCCCACCACCACCTGGCTCCGTGTCAGATCTGTCTTCTCCCCTGCCCCACTGATTCCTCCTTGTCCTGCCAGTCCCACTCTGCCCCAGCTCCTCATCCTATCTCAGTGTCCTCCCTACCCACTGGCTCACTGTTTCCATCCCTAGTCCCCGTGCCCAGCTACTCCAAGTGTCCATCCCCTGCCAGCCTCCAGTCCTAGTCTCTGCCACCCCAAGCTCCTTGTCCCAATCCACTCTCCTGGCTCTCCACCACAACATTAAGATCTGGCTGTTTTCCCCTCTGCATTTGAATTGGGCAACTTCCTCCTCCAAACTGCCTGGGTGCTATCAGGAGTGTCAGACTTCGTGCCCTCAGTTCCAACAGTCAGCCACACCATAGCCGG